GAATACACCTTTGGATACTTCCTCAAAATCATTTAAAACATGGAGATCATTGAATGTTTGGGTTTTATACCTTTATATTCTAAAGAACCTTTCAAAAAAACACTTCTGTGCACAACAAAAGTTCTTCAGAATGGCTACTGTAATTCTAAATGTTCCTTGATGAAATGATGCCATTTAGAAAAGTAATTATAAGAATGTGGGCTGTGGTTTAAGTATAGGTAAGAAGCAGGAGTCTGCATCAGAGGGGCGCAGCCTTAGGTTTAGACTGAGGTAAATCCGTGAGAGTCTAGGACTGGTCAGTTGAAAGTGCTATGTATGTACCTTGTGCCTCAGCACCGCCCCACCCTGCCCCGCCTAATTTCTGGCCCATCTCCAGCTGCAGACCTGACTAATTTGCAGTTCCCAGCAGATAGAAAGGATTGGAGAGATTTCACAGAAAATAAAAACAATACAAGACTGAGGAAAGTTCTCATAAAATTTTGCTAAGTGACCTGAGGCAAGGTTTCTCCATAGGATTCTCCAGAGTTCAAAAGACACTGAATTCCTCAGTCCCCAAGGTCCTTTTGAAGAATAGATTCATCTGGCTTACTCCATCCCTTTCCTGTGAACTTTTCCCTTACAGAAAGAGAGCAAAAAAATGACAGGGACAAAGACACACACATTCTAAGTAAGAAGACAGATTTCCAGTAAGGATAAAAGTATTTTTACCTGATTGTATAATCCAATTCCTTAAAAGGGTTTCTTGTTCACAGGAGTCAAAATAAATTCAGCATTTGGGGAGCTGTAATGAAAAGAAACCAGTTCAGATTCAATGTGAGACTTTGGTCATCATTCCCAGTCAGAGAGGCTGGCAATAGCTCCCTGTCCCAGTAAGAGGCTCAAGGGGCCACAGAGGCACCCACAGTTTTCCAGTTGAGGTCCTGGAGCATGGATAAGAGAGGTTCTTGATTAAGTCTGTATGGATCCCTAATATTGTTGAATGCTGACTCCTCTCAAATATCACCCAAAGAATCCATTGATAAGAGAAATCTGAGTTTATGGTTACAGAGTATGGGAGAACACTTTGGACAGCCCCTTAGGAGCAGTGGTGTGCAAAAGCTAGCTCCATCAGCCTGACAAGGTTGATTCTGAGCATTTCCTTCCCAGTCCATGTTCAGTGCTCTCATCTTGGTAGCTTGAAGTCAGCCATGGTAGGAATATTTATACCAAGCAAATCATCAAATTCCACAGATCAGGGATTTTTTTTATCCCCATAGTTTCAGATTATTTACTTTATAGCACCTTAGGTTGTAGAGGCAAAGTTGGGATATTTAGGAGATATTGAAGTTCAAGGCAAGTCTTTGAATGCAGAGGCTTGACTAAGATTAGATAAGGATCATAATACAAAAGTTTAGGATTGGTGGACACAGCATGGAGAGGGTTTTGAAGCAAGGGATCCCAAAAGTCTTGGAGAACAGCCATTCGATACCACCTACTGAAAAGTCAAACAGTTTGGTATTAATTAAAATGACCTTGTCTATAAGTTCCTTAGATAAAATTACTTGCAACTTTTATCTTTCTGAGCAAGAGTTTCCTGGAAGTGGAAGAGTAAAGTCATATTACTATGTACAGTAAGCTCTGTGGGTGTGGACGGTTTCGGTTCTCACATATAACACTTGAGCCTTCAAATTATATAAGAATTAAGGGAAGGCTTCCATGGAATTATCACAGAAATTAGCACACATAAAAACCATAACTCTCATAGAAAATGTTCCCTTGAAATTATTATTCATTTTCAACTTTTACAGAAAGTAAAGAATTCTGACTCCACATACTAATAGTATGTATTTATTTTCTTTACCAAATATTTAAATAGTTTTTAATGCCATTTCACTATTATCAAGTGATAAGAATTTAAATATATTGCATTTGTGTACTTTGGGAACAAAATACATCAATCACTTTCCTCTACAAGACAACGATGTAAGTGGATGACTTGGAGTATTTAACATATCTAAAATAGAGATTTTTTATGTTTATTTATTATGATTTTAATCGTTAAGTATAATTTGTATTATCTTTCTTTTCTTAGTTGAGCCTTTTATAGAGTCAGAAGTCTACAAGTGTTCTGAAACCAGTTAACTGAGAGAAGAAAGAAACTTTTTTTTTCAATTTGAACAGACAAAAGAGAATGTTTATATCATAAAGTGGGAGGTACCACTAACCTTCCCAATTCTATCCCTTCCTTACCCTATTGTGAATATTTATAATGAGCAATAAGGACAATATAATGTTTTTCTTTGAGACATATTTCGTTAGCATTAAAATATTCTCTATGTTGAGCTAAAACCTATTCCCTTCCTGTGTTCCCTTTAGTCTTCCTTCTGAAAACATAGAATAAATACATTTTCCATTCCATTTAACATATTGAAGACATTACCACAATGATTGGGTTTTGATTTTGTTTTCAGTTGTATTTTTTTCCTGAGATAGGCAGTCTGAATTTATTGAACCATTCCTCTATTTCAAAGGTATCCAATGTGTGGACTAGGACTGGCCCCTGATTGTTTCTTACCCTTTGGGAACTATATGTTATAGGTTCACAAGGAGCTGTGGCAGAAAATAAATCAACATACTACTCCCTTTATCCAAAAAGTCTTACTATGACAAAATAAAGCTAGCTGAATTAAACCCTGTGTTTAGTGATATAGTTGCTTTATATTGTGGCACAAGCTTTTCTATCTTTTTTCAGATAAACTGTTGGGCCAACTAGTTTGACAGCACTTGCTCCACATAACATGATTTCTAGATCCATTCTAATAGTTTTTCCCTCAATTATAACCAATGCCTACAGAGAGAGTCTGCTAAAAATATAACAGATAACATTATTTCCTTATATCTGAACACTATTTGTCTTAGTATTATAGCCTAATAGTTATTAATGAGTTTATTATTTTATCTTTAATATTTTATTGATTATGCTATTACAGTTGTCCCATTCCCCCCTTCACTCCCCTCCCCCCTGCACATCCCCTCCCACCCACATTCCCCCCTTTAGTTCATGTCCATGTATCATAAGTTCTTTAGCTTCTACATTTCCCATACTGTTCTTACCCTCCCCCTGTCTATTTTCTACCTACCATCTATGCTACTTATTCTCCATACCTTTTCCCCCCTCTCCTCTTCCCACTCCCCTGTTGCTAACCCTCCATGTGATCTCCATTTCTGTGGTTCTGTTCCTGTTCCAGTTGATTGCTTAGTTTGTTTTTGTATTAATGAGTTTTTAATCAAATACAGTATCTAGTCAGAAGTATACATTTATCCTCTTCTAAATTCATGCTGCTTATTGCCCATTATTCCAAAGTGGCTACCTTCTAGTTATTCTATCCAATTAGGTGTCATTTGTGAATATAGGCTATGCAGTTTTTGCTATGTAAAAAAAAGTCACTTTAAATAATCACCTTTTTGAAGAAAATCCCACGCGTCTTGTGGTTCAGTGGGTCAGTTATGGCGACCTTGGCTTGTTCCTTCTGATCCTGACTATGTGCTCTAGCACGTAGATCTGCCTTCAGCTGGAGGGTGGCTGGAGCCTGACTGGCCCAGGACGGTCTCATTGCGAGGACTCGGCTCCCCTCGCCAGGGCTTGTGTCCTTCAGCAGGCTGGCTTGAGCCAGTTCTCATGGCTGTGACAGGGTTCCAAGGGTAATAGGAAGCACACTAGACCTCTGTAAGGGTCAGCCTCAGTCCTGGCATAGATCAGAGAAGGGTGGAAATGGACCTGGAGGAGGACAAGGATAAAATAACCATCACAATACCAATGTGTTCTTCTAAGTTCTTTATAAAAATTTTGAAAGTGGCAACTGACAAATACTCTCCATGGAAGACCTCAATAGACATGACAGATGCAGTGATCAATAGTTTCAGAAGAGGTTATTTAAACAGCTTCAACTGTATCAACAAGAGTTTCCAGCTCATCCATGCTTTTCCATCACGTAAATAAGAGTTCAGTGAAAAATTTTGTCAGGTTTGAATGCTTCAGTTAAGAAATCATCTGTAGTTTCCTGAACATAAATGATGATCACTGCATTATTTATAAAACAAAATATGGGACAGCATGCAGGATTTAATAATTTATTATGTGGATTATCATAAATTATTTCATGCAGTTTTTAAGTTTTAAATAATTGATGAAATGGAAAAATATTCACCATTTAACTTTAATGACAAAGTGGTAAGATACATAGTGAGGCACAATATTTTGAAATCCCAGACAGGAATACAATCAAAATACACTTATCTTTGTATGGCAAGATTATAGTGATTTTTATTTTCATCTTAACAACAAAAAAATTCCTGGAACATTAGCCATTTGCTTATATTGTTGTACTTGAAATAAAATTTGAAAATACAGAAAATAGATGGTGACATAAGATCTCTATAAAGCTATCTTTCAAACTGGAATGGAGAAATCGTGAGTAAAGTTTACTATATCTTAGGGAAATCAAGAAAAAATAAACAGCTCCAGATAGCACTTCACATTTGGAATATGGGTATCACACTCTACAGTTTATCACAACACGGAGGAATATGAATTATTGTCATCCTTATTTTTTTATTTTTCCTCCCTCCCCCACTCTCTTCCTTTTGTCTGCTTCCAAATTCTGAGTTGTTTCCACTCCACTCCACTGCATTAAACCTCAACAGGAGTCTCATCCATCTCCATAATCTCCCAATGCCTTTTGTCGCACATGAGACACAAGAATGCCGCTCCAGCAGGCATACATCTGGAGGAGTCTGGTGGACAGTCTCGGAGGTGAAAGGGTAAATGCTGGCAGATTCTATGCACAGAAGCCCATATGGGCTTGATCAGAAATAATCAGTACACTTAAGAACAGTGGATGTTGTATATTTTTTAAAGCCATGACAACAAAATCATTAGATGTGTAAACCTTTGTTATGCCGTACTCATGACCAAGTTTAAGAATTTTTTAGAGTGTTTTACAATTCTGTTTTGCTTCCAGGTATTCCAAAGTTGATTACATCTGATATGATTAAAGAAGGTGCAGCTGTAATTGATGTTGGAATCAACTATGTCCACGACCCAGTGACAGAAAAGACAAAATTAGTTGGAGATGTGGACTTTGAAGGTAATAAATTATATCATTTTTCCTAAGTAATGATAAAGAAACATTCTATTTTTCACGTTTTGATAATAGAAAGTGAAATTTTCTACTTGATGGGGGCATTAGTAAGTTATAAATCATTGCACCTCTTTCCTCTGAGGAAAAAGGAAAGGAAAAAAAAGGAAAACCCGAGAATGCATATATGCAACAATACCCTCCGAGGACAGCGTGGTGGGTAAGAGCAAAGCACAGACGGATCTTACCAAAGAGCATACTGCGGCCCTCCCAGGCTGCCACCCACAGGCTCCCTGCCAGGATGGAGCGTCCAGTCTGGCAGGGTGGCTCTCCAAGTGCACATGTGTGTCCGTCCATATATATGTTCATTATGTGTACATGTTGATCTCTTTGAGAAATGACCTCATTTCTTTATTTCATTGTTCAAATTCAATCACTACTATTACATATCAATAATTTACTGAAGATCTCAACTTGAAAAGGTGAAAATATATTTCAAGCCTTGACCTTATTTCTTATTTTTTGCACTGTCATTGCTTTTTGACAACATTATAGTTACCATGCATTTCTTGTGAAAATCACCACACTTATGATGCATCCAGGGGCCGCAGACAACACGGGATAATGAGCTGAAGAAAGAAGAGCCAGGATATTTTTAGTTCATAACCTTGACTGTGCTGTGGGACAACCTTACCCAGCAGTTTACCACATCTAATAAGATCCTTCTGTTAGATGAGAGTTTGCTGGTTTCAGTTCATTACCACACACCCTTATGTTTAGCTAAGAAGGTTTTGTGCTCATGAGGCTATTCTGAAAACATTTCAAAATGAGCAGTTCTGGGTGAATGCATCTGCTCAGTCACACAGATATATGCACTTCAGGTTGCATACTACTCCACTTGGCAGAATCTAATACATTAATTTGGGGTTATGTATCTAAGTGTATAGTGAAATAAAAAAGGAAATGACAAATAGAAAGAAGATATGACATGAACAGGAAAGAGCATTGGTCTGGGAGTCTGAAGAGATGCTTTTAGACTAGTGTTCTAACCCAGGAACTTTGCAACCTCTCTAGGCATCGGGGTTGTTATCAAGTGGTACTAACAGCTCCTTCTACCCCTAATGCTTGCTGTGTCTTGTACATTCAACTCAATGCTACCAAATGACTGTGAAAACCCCCCCAAAGGCTGGAAGATCAGATTTTTCTGATCCTATCATAAAATACCCCCACATGATTGGTAACATTACTCTTGCCACACTACTGGTTCGTGGAGGCAGAGCCATAAGGAAGACGACCTTGCCACCTGGGCCATGACTCAGCCACCCAGAGGAGCAGGCAAGAGGTAGGTTTTGACATGTCGTTCTTCAGGTTGTTCCTCAGGACTTAACCCGAGGTGAGGGATGATCTCTTGGCTAAGAGGGGGGAACTTGAACTTGGGTTATGCCTCAAAACTTATAGGTAGCACTTGGCTGCTAATTGCCACAGGGGAAGTGTGGATGCTTTGTATTGGTGAGAGTTTCACTATAACTATAACCCAGATTAACAAAACGGATGCAGATAAAATCAAGTGCTGCAGTAAATTGTTCTTGCAGAAATCTTTGGCTCACTCATAAAGGAAATAGGACAACCTATTTCAAGTAGATGAATTTGATAGAAATGATTTTTTAAAGAATAATGATCCCATTAGAGGAATATTAGTAATATGTAAATAATTGCAAATTTAGTGATGTATTAAACCAAGAGTCATTTTATTTATTTGTAAGAAAATCCAGATGCCTATTTGTAGTCTTCTTCATTATTAGATGTTTTGGCCTCAGTCTTGAGACAGGCTTCTCTCAAAAAAGAGATATTTTGTAAGGGTCCCATCACCACTTGTCATGAACTGTAGTCCGTGACAAAAAGGAGACACAAAAACACCCTAAATATTTCTTTTTGACATTAATGTCAGGTTTTTGTTTTGATTTAGACATGATTTCTTTCAGAGCACGTCTTCCTTCAGCTACTAGGGTTTCCTGCTCTTTCCCCCACTGCTCCATTCCCTTCTGTCTTCCTTATTTCCCCCCCACCCCCGCCCCCAAGACCAGAATAGAGCACAACAGCCCTGTCTGGGCTGATGGCACTCTATGGTGGTCAGGACTAGAGGTGACAGAGAGAGAAACAATTGTCCCTCCCTCCACCATCACCCCAATAATTCCCTGTCACCTCAGCACCTCAGTTGCAAATTTGCCAATATTCTTAAAGAGGAGACAGGCAAATCTAGTAGAAAATTATACTGAGGGTAAGGAAGGTGTGAGAGGCTTTCCTACGTGGGAACACTATCTCAGTCATTTGGCTTTGCTCTTCGTAGCCAGTGTTCGAGAATGCTTTCAGTGTGCTGGTACTGTCCTCATCCTCTTACATAAATTATTCATTTAATTCTTAACCCTATGAGGTAGGAGTTATTACCCCTGGCATCTTGCCTGAGATGACATAGTCATGTAGCACCATTTGTTCACAGCCAGACTCTTGTAATTAGTACCCTCTGTTGTCTCCACTCTTTTGTACTTCATTTGGTTAATATTTTCCTTTTGGAGACATGAAGTTACTTTTTTATTCCAACCCCTCCCCGCCCCCCCGCCCCCCGTGCCAGGAGATGTATAATAGCAAATTTGAAAGGCACCTGGACAATGTTATTTGTGTACAGCAGTCCTCAGTTTGCTTGGTTCCGATATGCAGAGATTTCAGTCACCACAGCTGAGCTAAAGAACACCAGTCCCCAACAAAGTGGTTTGAGTTCTTCAGTCCTTGTGGTATGTTAACTGTAATTGCATAAACTGCAAACTTCTCTGCTAGATCCTCAATCCAAAAATTATTATGCAAATATCAAATGTGCATGACAATCTGTGACCAATCATATCACTTCTTTCAAAGTCTTTTGGTGACTGGTCATGGCACATTCAGATCAGATAACAAAGTATACAATTCTGTTGACTTCTTGCCCCACAGTGACAAACTTTCCTTTCCAAAAAAACATACCATGGAAAAAGGGAATTACCAGCAAAGAAATGAACAATGATGATACTGAAAGTGAAATTGAAATAGTTGACCATGGGATGTTGACAATGCCTCCATTTGCCATTTAAAAGACTCTTGATATACAGCTAGAGGAATTTACTGAAGGCAAATTTATGGACATGTATATATTTAGACATGTATGGAATATCCCAGGCCAGGTCAGGGTGATGCCAGACAGATAGAGCAACAACAGGGGACAGGCCAGCCACAGCTGCACAAGTGGGTAGGTGGGCCACAGGGTAGGAGTCTGCTCAGAGTCCAGGAGCCCCACCTAGACTGGGCTACTGCTGCTGCCATGAGGCTCTCCTGGAGACTGAGGGCCAGGCCTGGGCATGGTCCACAAAGTTTCCAGTCATTGGGGCAGTGGCACTTTAAGGCAGTCCAAGGCAAGGAGGCCTGCATCATACTTTTAGAAACTGGGGGCAAGCCTACAAAAAAACCCTTGGTTTCTGTTCCTGGGCCCAGGGCTGCACAGGGCCCTTCAGGCTTTGCAGATCTTCTAGTTCAAGTACTAAGGTTTTTGTGTGTATGCCTGGCTGGGTAGGGTAAGTTACCTACTGTTAGAAGAGCAGGATATAGAGGCAGAAATGGGATTTCTGGATCACATGGCAGTCGTGTTTTTAATTGCTTGTGGAGCCTCCATACTGTTTTTCCTAGTGGCTACACCAATTTGCAATACCTCCAACAGTGCACAGTGGTTTCCTTTTATTTATCTCCCGGCCAACACTTACCTCTTGTCATTTTGATAATAGGCATTCTGACAGGTATGACGTAATATCTCATTGTGGTTTTGATTTGCTTTTTCCTAATGATTTGTGATGTTGAGTATCTTTTTATGTACTTGCTGGCCATTTGGATGCCTTCTTTGCAAAAATCTGTTTGGTTCCTTGGCCCATCTTTTAATTGGATTGTTATTGGCTTGTGTGAGATCTTTATATATTTTGGATATTAACTCCTTAACCATATATGATTTGCAAATATTTTCTCTCATTAATGTACAGGAACTATTTAGTTTGATATAGTCCCATTTGTTGATTTTCACTTTTGTTGCTTATGTTTTAGATGTCATATTCAACAAATCATTGCCTAGACCAATATCAAGGAGTCTTTTCCCTCTGTTTTCTTCTAGGAGTTTTATGGTATCAGGCCTTATGCTTAAGACTTTAATCTATTTTGAGTTAAATTTTGTGAATGATATGAGATGGGGTCCAATTTCATTTTTCTGTTCATGATTATCCAGTTTTCCCAGAACCAGTCATTGAACAGACTGTCATTTCTCATAGAACATTCTTGGCTCTCTTGTCAAATATTAATTGGCCCTTTATGTGGAGTTCATTTGTAGGTTCTCTATGCTGTTCCATTGGTCCATGTGTCTATTTTTATGCCACTGCTATACTGTTTTAATTACTGTAACTTTGTAATGTAACTTTGTTTGAAATCAGAAAATGTGATGTCTCCAGGTTTGTTCTTTTTTTCTCAGGATTGGTTTGGCTACCCAGATTCTTTTGTGGTTTCATTCAAACTTTAGGATTATTCTTTCTATTTCTATGGAAAATGCCATTGAGATTTTTCATAATGATTGCATTATCTATAGATGGCTTTGGGCAGTATGGACATTTTAGCAATATTAATTCTGTCAATCCATGGACACAAGATAGCTTTACATTTGTGTCTTCTTCATTTTTTTAATTAATGTCATGCAGTTTACACTATATATAAAAAATATTTATATATAATATATAATATATTTTACATATAAAATAAATTTTATATATATTATATATAAATGTATTTATATATAAATATATATATTTTTATATATAAAAGATATATATATCTTTTCCTTGGTTAAATTTGTTTCATAGTATTTTATTGTTTTTGATGCTACTATAAATGGGAATGTTTTTAAATTTCATTTTTATATATTTCACTGTCATTTTATAGAAATACAACTG